GCAATGTTGAGGTTAGGCGTAGAGTTTTAGGCAGTCGCGGTCGTCCACTAGAGCAAGTGATCGACCTCAATAGATTACGCTGGTTGGGACATGTGATACGCATGTCACTAGATAGGTTGACACGGCGATTTAGGTTTGCCAAGGCTGGTAGCGATTGGAAAAAAACGAAGGGCGATCAAGCTAAGACCTGACATGAGGATATGAAAACCCTAACCAGGAGACTAGGTCACATAGGCCCCGTTAGGCTCTCGGGCTGGGGACCTCGGGATGATGGTCACCGATGGTTAGCTACTGAGTGATATGGCTGAGTGTCGCAAACAGTGGCGCTCGTTCATCCACTCGTTATTTTCCTAACACCACTCTACATGAATTCCCCATCTTCCGCTTGAATTTGCTTCGACATTCCAATCTTCATTTCGCTCTTTTATCCAAATGGGCAACCAAAAGACAGCAACCAAAACCGGCGCACGAAAGTGCATGGTTAATGGTTGTAACAACTGAACCGAACTGAACTTATGGATTCAGCGAGTCCTTCACGTCGATATTGTTGGACTTAGGTCTATGCTATTTGGTTGGTGTAGATTAATGTTAGCATATCAGTTTGGCAGACTACTCATATCGTTCTGCAGATAGTCACCGAAATTTTCCTTGGTGAATTCACGGATCATTTGACCGGGTTCGACTACCATGTGATGGACCATAACACCTGCTATTTTTGGCTGATGATGCAAAAACGGCTAATTATATTCTCTTGTTCCTTAACCCCTTAGTGCTTACTCGAACATTATTCGTGCTTTCGAAATCCGTTTGCCAACGGAGCAATCAGCAGAAGTGTAACGTAAACTAGACTGAATCCGTATTATATAGATGGAGCGGTGTTCCTTGTAATCCCTTAAATGTTTTTGTTTCTTTTTGATATTTTATTTATCAATTAAGGGCGTGATCTATTGAGTTAATGGTTTATTCGTTGCATCCTTGTCTGTTCAGCAGATTACAAACACGGAGGCCGTGGTGGACGCGGTCACACAGTTGGAACTTTTCCCCATGACGATGAATCAATTGCAGGATACCCGGATTGCTCATCTCTTACAGATGATCAGGCACAAGGTTGATCCGGTCCTGCAAAAGAGAATTCGTTTTGTGATTAAAGCATGGCAAAAGCTCCTATCTCCCAATTTCACCGCAAATTCTGTGATCCCGCTCAAATGTGCTGATTTGGCTGCGTCGACAACTGCATCTCCTCGTACCGTGTCCAAGCCTCAGCATTCCAACGGCACTCCTATCAAGTCAGCTTTATCAGACAAACCAAACAGTGCACATACTGTTCCAGCATCCGTCGACTCGCCGCGTACGTCGGAATCTCGTGGACTAAAACGAAGCTACCTTTCCGCCTCCAATTTAACAACTCTTCCCCCCAAGGCTCGTGATTCTAATAATGACAACACTTATCCGTCCGATTCTCCCCTCACGAATCAGCAGGCGGCAACACCAAACAAGCGATTACGATATCAACAACAGCCTGTCGCATCGCCTCAGGTCAAACCCGCAACAACAACACCCATGCAAGTCGAGTCACAATCCTCTCCTAAGCCTCCGATGGTTAATGGAGGCCGTCACATTGATACCCACTCGGACTGGATGCCGATCTCTAAGCCCTCCACTCCCGTTTTGACTAAATCTAACACGATTGTGGGTTCTCTGCGTTCATCAAGTACCAACAGTCCGCAACTCCCGTCTCGGGATGGCCGCACCACTCAGGCAGCCCGTCTGGCAAAGGTCAAATCCACTGCGGAATTGGTCCAAGCGGCTGGCGATTGTATAGACTCGGCCACAGCAGACCGGATTCTCACCAATCGAATTAACAAGGAAGCCGACCCGCCTCGACCATCGATAGTATCCCAGCTTACACGAACACGACAACCTCGCAACGCATCTGGTTCGGCTCAGGGTGCCCAAAACGAAACCCCGAAGTCCCGATCCAACACCCCACGTTTGGCTCGATCAAGTAGTTTACGTGCAGATACACCGGCGAGGTCCACACCTTTAGGTTCGGATTGTCGTTCCGAGCTTGTGAACCACACAAACAGACCTTCGGATAGAGCCACACCACCTGTTTCGGCTCTACTGGGTACTAATAGACTAACGGCCGACACGAGCGCTTCACCAGGACTGGGTCATTCAGTAGATCACAAAGCCGAGACCATCAAACGACCCGCTCTCAGTGAATCCGAGCCTGGCGTAGCCGACACGGATTCTGACTCACAACGCTCTAGGCACAAAAAGCACAAAAAACATCACAAACATCGCCACAAGCACCACAATGACGGTACAGACTCTGGTCGACCACACAAACACGGACGAAGCCCAGCAAAGATCGTGCTACCCCCAATCACAAATCACATGGACGATTGGCCTCAACTACCCCCTCTTCCTACGGAGATTGACTGGTACAGTTTGGATCGCCCGATCGAAGGACCTACAGTCAGTTCAAGTGGTACAACAGATGCAGTGACTCGATTGTTATATGAACCCTGGCCCGAAGTCAATCGTACCGTTGACGATCAAGGTTTGCTGCACTTGCCCACTGAATTATACTCATTGTCACTCGATGACCAGTATTTGCATATACTTCCCTGGGTTGATATTTTTGGTCATAGACGTCAGTTTTTCCCATCCGAAGACGATCTAGAACAGCTCACAGTGTTACCAGACCCATGGTAATGGCATCCTTTGCTCGATCATCTTCCCGTTTGTCTACTTCCCTCCTCTCTATGAGTGTCTCCTCGGCTCGTTTTCCTCTCCCACATGCGCTATTTCGGCGCGATTAGGTATCCCTTGGTCATTCAGCTCACAAGAGTTACTTGAGAGTACATCTTAGCTCGTTCTAGATGTCGCGGATTCTAAAACACATGTTGGTCAGTATGGATCGACAGGGCAGACTGGACATTTTGGCATTTATCGAGCACTGCTGACCTGCCGGTCACTGGTTTGTTTCGTCTTGTGTTCGCTCACTCATTTTCATCTAACATTCTCTGCATGCACATAAGTGCCCTAGTCACCGTTATGCGATCAGTCATTTCGGTCACAAAACTTTCAGACACCCTTTCATCTAATTCTTACTCTTTCCCGTGCGCTCTCAAAAGAACGCTGTTTTTCTAGTCTGCATTTGGTTCGGCTTTGTCCTATCCGCTTTTACTCACCCTCGATCTTCTTTCTCACTTCATTTCACTTCGTTCTCTCCTTGTAAGACTCATGGTTTTCCCTGCTCTTCGTGAATCTACCTGACCGAATACAACGGCAACAGCGTGTTGTCACCACTATCCCGCTTTTGCGTCACTCCAGCGCACTTCATCCCTAATCCCTGTTTCAAACCATTTCGTGTGCGTGCTTGTGTATGTTTTTCTTACCTTCTGTAACACGCGAACGGCCACCACGTATGATTTTCATGTGTATATTTTCTGTACATATCTGACTTCTCTCTAGCCATCTATTCTGAAAGAGTTAAATTTTTACGGAAATAAAAAAAAGTTTATTGACTTGAAAAAATGATCCAGTCAGACGCCATTCGTTTTTTGTCATTGGTTAATGGTCAGTGAAAGCTGGGTTCCGTTTCTAACCGACAGAAGGCGCATCGAGGTCGACCCGTCCGTTTCTCCAATGGGTTAGGTACGAAGTATTTTTCGCATAGAGAGCACTGAATAAAAACGAAGACGTGTCCGTTAGTAATGTGAATGACGCTCGCTTCGTTATATTCATAGCATGAATAGCGGTTAAAGCTGATCGAGGGAATAAAACGTCAACCTAATCCACGATAACAGGATCGGAGGATACTCAAACAAGCGATTCAGCTAGTGTAAATTTTCGGGCCAAATTCAGTGGAAAGCTTTCAAGTAGCTGGTTACTGAGTCCACCCGATCGATAGTGTCAAACGAGAACTAACAGTTTACCAATGAAATCACAATCGAAAACCGTATTTACGGTTGACCAGGAATCCTTCACGTTCGCGGAACAAGCTCAATTGTTCTCGGACTTTCAAAGTAACAATTGGGGAATATTAGGCAGCAAACGTTAGTTTCTGGGGGTCGCAGAGTTTTTGGGGTTATCGGAAGAGTGAAATGACGCATTGAGGAGTAGATTAGGCATTTAGAGGGGCGGAGTTTGGTGAACGTCTTAAGGATGATTTGTGAGATACCGTTCTGGTCGGACGGTTTGCGGCACCTGATGTGAGGCAGAGGTTACACTTGATGAAAGAGCAAGAAGCCCATGCTTTGGAGTAATTGGGTAGAGTGAAATGGAAACCGTAACAGCTTTCCCATGTATTTCTCAAAGACCACTGAGAGAATAGTTGGAATGAAAATCGCGGGGTATTGCTTTGATAAGGGATCAGCTTTTCCGGCTACCTTTGGTGTATCACCTAAAGCGTTCGCCATTCACGTAGTTAAAGTGTCCATGTTCCTAGATTGCTCGAAGTGGTGGTAGGAAGTGGCAGTAGATAAGTGGTGGGATGCTGAGGGTTTAAATCGCGGCACCATCACGTGCGTGGTTGAATCACCCAGGGTATTTATATTTGTCGGGTTAGTAGAAGTGCAGAATGAAAGTGCGTATCATTTAGAACGAATTTGTTGACACCAGAAACAAATGCAGAGGCATCGAAGGTGAAACAGCAGCCATTCTGGGAATAGGAAGTCGTTCAGGTCGTTCTCTTCGGCTAAATCGTATCGCTGGCGCGTGTCTTGAAATCGGTGGAGGAAGAGCGTAGGTAAAAAGGATGGCGGGGGAAATAACAGTTGTTTGATGGCCCAAGTGGCAAGAGCTGATCCAGGAATTGACTTATTTCTATGTAAACATGCAGTGTACTAAACCGGTAAGGTAAGTTACAAGCTTTTCTGGATAGTTTGAGTGTTAATGTGTCCATGTTTGGTATGCATTTTGCACCTTCAAAGTGTAAAATGCTACTACAAGACTGGGTTGATCCATCACCCAGTCTCACTCTTACTGGAGGAGTAATAGAGCAGGCGGATAAGTTTTGTTATCTGGTCAGCTACATCTCACCCGGTGGACGCATCACGGATGAAGTGTCAGCTCGCATACAAAAGGCTTGATTGGCGTTTTCCAACTTGAAACACCTGTGGCGCCGTCGCGACATCCGGCTGTCTGTGAAGGGTCGAGTATATGCTGCAGTAGTTCGGCCAGTCCTGCTATATGGAGCAGAAACTTAGCCAATAAGAAAACAGAACAAAGATAGACTGTCAGTGTTTGAACATCGTTGTCAATGCCACATAGCATTGCACGTGTCTGGTGGGGCAGCCGGATGAGCAGTGCTGAGGTTGGGCGTAGAGTTTTAGGCAAACGCGGTCGCCCACTGGAGCAAGTGGTTGATCTCCTTAGATTTAGCTGATTGGGACATGTGTTACGCGTATCTCCAAATAGGCTGCCACGGCGAGCGATGTTTTCCGAGGCAGGTAGTTGGTGGAAGAAAGCCCAAGGTGGTCAAACTAAGACCAGACATGAGGGTATGAAAACCCTGATCAGGAGACTGGGTCACAGGTCCAGCTAGGCTCCCTGGCTGGGGACCTAGGGATGATCGTACTCGATGGTTAGCTACACTGAATGATATGACTGGGTGTCGTAAACAGTGGCGTTCATGCATTTTCTCAATTTCTCTGTACCATTAATGCACTGAACATTTCAATTTTCTCTTTGATCCTACTTTCAACCTTTCCTGTCTTTCTCCTAATGTTCATCCAAATGGGCGGCCGAAAGATAACCAAAACCGGCGCACTGTAGTGCATGTTTAGTGGTTGTGCAAAATGAAAAACTTGACTGCCGTCTTTCACGAACCTTATTATCTCGCGTAATTCACAGGTTCGTTTAGTCCAAGGACAAGTCGCTCTGTATGTTTTCGTGAAATAATGCGATATACCAGTTACGAACTCACTGCATGCGGCAAATCAATGCCACTATTCCCGCATAAGGATAGGGCTGTTTCTAGCATCGAATCTATGTTGGAGTTAAATAGAAAAGAAGCTAGAGAGCAATCTTGACGAACACCACCTTCTGTCGTAAATTTGGGCGAAAAAGCACCATAAACTCTTAATCGGCTTCGGTTGTTATTTCACACACCCTTCAGAGAAAGACAGTGCCAGAGTGGTCGATTGAGCCGAAAGCCGCTTTCAGATCGAGGAAGGCAGATCGTGGGCCTACGAAAGGAGTCTCTATGTTCCAAAAGTTCCCGAAGAGTGAATGTGATTCATAAAACCCCTTCCAGGTCTTAAACCAGCCTGGTTCTCTCGCGTGCACCGTTCATGTGCAGCAGACATTCGACGGAATATAACACCAACGCGAAGCTTAGAGAAAATTTTGATTTAGCCAATTATCCTATGGCTTTCAATCGTCACAAAGAGACTGTACCTTGACGTGGAGTGACGGCTTGTGGACCTGTATGACCCAACGAGCTACACCGGATCGCTTTTATCAAGCCAGGGAACCTTATCATGCCTCGAAGGTCAGACAAAGTTCAGCCTCCTGTTCCTCCGTGTTTGGAGGTTCGATTCGAGTCGCAGTCGGTCAAATGGTAGATGATTAATCAATACAAGTAAATGAGCCTCTACTTTGCTTTACCCGCTGCCTTGCGGTCAGGCTCTTGATAAAACTAAAAGCTTTGGTTGAAAATCCTAATCGTCCTCCTGCTTGGCGGTTGGACTCCCAGGCAGTGCTCTTCCATAAAGCTCCAATGAAAACATAATAAAACTAATTTCATACTGCATCGGTCGTCGCGCAGGATAATCAGGACCGCGCTGCCCATTGCATC